CAAGGTGACGGATGCCAAGGAAAAGGCTCTCAAGCGCAACACCTATGCGCGACGTGTGATTGCCCATCCGTGCTTTTTCAACAAGTCGTATGCAGAGGTCATTGCCATGCTGGCGGAGGCCGATCAGGGCGAGGTGGCGATGCGACCCAGCAGCAAATCGGCGGCCCACTTGACGGCCACATGGAAAGTGACCGATGACATTTACCAGCACATCGATGTCCGGGAGGAGGGCAAGGAGAACGACTACAGTCTAGGGCGCAGCCTCTATATCGGCACCGATGAGTATGAAGATCTCGATGAGATAATTGCCCGCTACATCAATCCCATGGCCGCTGCGGCCCGCGAGCTCATCCAGTATAAATACTACAAGAAGAATGCCACGCCAGAGAATGGCAATGAGCGTGAGTTTATGGAGCAGCTGCTGCGCGACGAAAAGGCCAAGGATCCCAAAAAGATTCACTATTTCTTTACCGCCTCGAAGAGCATACCGGGCAAGTTCCTGCTCTCGTATCTGCCCAAGACCAAGGTGCGCACCGAGTATGTGACGGTGATGCCCGAGGGCTATCGCTTTCGCGGTCAGGTCTTTGATTCCGTCAATAGTCTGTTGCGTTGGTTCAAGGAGCATTGGCTGGATCCCACCGCGTCGCCGGCAATCAACACACCCATGCATGGCATGCGACCGCCTTCGGCCACACACAACTCTGGCGGAGGAGGATCCTCTGCAGGGCCCTACAGCATATCGGGCAGCATTGCGGGCAGCGTGTCCGGGGGCACACCGCGCAGCGGCATGAGCAGTTCGGACATACGTGGCAGTGGCGGCGGCGGTGGCGGCTCCAGTGCCTACTCCATATCGCATTCCATTGGCGGCGGTGGCGGTTACGGCTCCTCTGCTGCAGCGGCCGCTGCACACTATGGCACCTCAGCGACGCCATCGTTTGGCGGGGCCGCGATCAACACCCCTTACACGCCCAGCAGCCAGACGCCGTTCATGACGCCGTACACGCCGCATGCCTCACAGACGCCACGCTACGGCCACAATGTACCCAGCCCAAGTTCACAGTCATCGAGCAGCCAGCAGATGCGCCATCATCATGGACACTATGGGAGTGGCAGTGGGAGTGGCGGCACCCCAAGGAACTATTATGATATGGGTGGTGCTGCTGCTGGCGGAGGCTACAGCAGTGGCCAGCCGCAACAGCAGCAGCAGCAACGTGCCAAAGAGAGCCTCGACTGGCAGCTGGCCAACGATTCCTGGGCACGCCGTAGGCCTCCACAACAGCAGCAACAGCCACCACAACAGCAGCAGCAGGCGCAGCAAACGGCGATGGGAATGGGCATGAATATGGGCTTGGGTATGAATATGGGTCTAGGAATAAACCTCGGGTACAGCGTCTCTGGGACGACGCCCACCAATGAGTACTCGACGGGCACCAGGAATGCTGGTGCTGCCGCTGGTATTGGCGGTGCTGGTGCTGGCTGGTGCTCCTCGTCCAAAGCAGCATCGGTGCGTAGCACGCCGCGCACAAATACCTCGCCGCACTCCATGAATCTGGGCGATTCAACGCCGCTCTACGATGAAAACTAATGAGATCCTGTGTGGCGGCTCCTAAATGCCAATGCTACAACAGCAAAAAACAACAACAACTACTACACTCTACAGTCAACACTCAAAAGGGCATGGGAAGGGGATTCGGACCAGCCTGTTGTCCCACTGTCCCACCATTAATTCCGCGAAACTCTTAAACTATTTGTAGAACATAAAAAAACAAAATGAAAAACCAAGGACAGATAATTCATCTCACCTGAAGAAGTGAAATTAACTAAAATTAATATAAAAATTCGCGATAGACTATCGTTTAAGCGCGATCTACTTATCGATCATTGATCGATATTCAACGAACATTTTGATCGCGACTGCAATTTGTCAACTGAAATGAAATTCTAAGATGATGTTTAAGACGATGGCCGGACAAAAATAAATTACAATTTTTTTCTGACCAGAAAATAAATACAAACCGAATATTAAGAATTATACATACACTTTGGATTAGATATTAAGGGTCTTGCAGCATCCCCAAAACCATAGGAGGCCACAGTTAACCTTTGGGAATTGATATTTAGAAAGATTTATTTATGTGTGTTTGACCAAAGAAAAGGCTACCCCAATCGAGTATTTGAAGAACGTTTTATGGTTACCATACTGATGGTAGGATACAGATACCCCCCGGCACGGACCATATATAGATGCTATGGGCATGGGCTATAAGGATAGGGATGGAGCAATAACTAAACAGGAAGATTGTCTGTCAATAAAAGCAGCCATATAGTAACTGTTCCTCTCAATTTATTTGTCTTTACGCCAAACGATGTTGCAATAAATATACATACATACATAAGATTAAGACAATTTCTTTGTATTTGTCTTTGATTTGTAAATACTGATTATGTCAGGTACAGAAAGAATCACTCTCTTTCTCTCTCGCAGTGTGGCTTGGCTTCTAAGAGTGGCAAATACAAAGTTAAGAATATTCCATTGGCTTGTTTTTACTCAATATAGTCTCTTTCTTCCAGCGTGGCTTAGTCGTAAGGTTGTTTGTTTATGTCCTGAATCAGTAAAAAAAATAGCTCCCATCCCAGAAACGCAATAAAATGATAGCAATTCAAATTCAATTCCCTTAGAAATATGGAATCATCTGCATCTGTTATGCCAATTTAGGTTTATTTTCAGACCCAAAATTGTATGGTTCCTTTTGCCTTAAGATATGTTCTCTTATGGAAACATATTTACAGAAACTCTTGTTTATTTGTAGTCCAAATATATGTCAAATGTATGTGTTGAATGCACAACCAGCTGATGCAGGTCATAATTAATATATTTTTCATTTAGGAAACAACCAAGAAGATGTTTATCGGTCACGGTGCTCACCCAAAGACAATTTCAACGCTCTTCCAGTGGGGCTTAGCCTCTCAAGCTCTTTACCTCCATATCCCACTTTTCCACTCGATTTGTTTTGAAACTCGATCACACACTCTAGGGCATTTCAGTTTTCTCACACTTTTGGCACAAGCTAGAACTCGTTTACATAGAAATTCCCAAAAGTTTTTTACTCTCAATAAAGCAACATGTACGAGTGCACCAGATGTGGCCACAAAAAGGGGGCTCTGAGCTCCATGGCTGATTACGACTTTCCTCGCTGGAAGACACATGGCTCTGAAGAGTGTCCCATTGAGGTACTTGGGCGGGAGGACATTTGCGGTGTCTGCCGTTGCCTCTGTTTCTTTGCCATCGTTGACGACTACGAGCTGGAACCACTGCATGGGCAGGTGTCCCCCGGTACTCTGGATGCG